CAACTGGTGTGTTGTAATAAAGCGGCATGGCGGCACCGTATGCATTAGCATGTGCATATGGGAACATTTGTGGTGGTCCAGCATGAGCAATTGAGGGCACATTCTATAAAATAATGAAGATTAATTACTTTTATTAAGTAACGACCATCAGTTTACCACCCTTCCTCATTTTTTTTAATAGTCTTTCAAGCTAAAACCGAAGATGTCCATTAGCCTTTAAATTGTTAAATTAATGAAAAATATGAGATGTAACAACTTTTGTGAGTCACCAATTTTGTCCAGTGGAATTCCAAATGCTGCTTTTACTAAAATAGCCAATCAATCATTGTTGGCAAACAATCGAACCTTGTTATTCTACAATTATATAATAGTCCGAAAAAATGCAAACGTTTACCTGAACAGATAAAGCTTGTGGATTGGCAAGAGCCAAACCTTGTATTTGTCCCGGTGCTGCGATGTGTGTTGACATAAGCGGTAGTGGCGCAGCGGGAGGTGTTCGAACGCTATGTAGCGTTGGACGATAACTTTGTGGTTCAGTGTTGCGGCAATTCGTTAAATTGCGGGGTACAAATGACGGTGCATCCGGATTCCAAACGAAATGCTTCCTGAACTCTGGCAAATATCAGTGTTCCGTCCAGATTTAATAGAACAATTATTCATTGATAAACTGAAGTCCATTGGCAGCACAACCTCGCCAACCAGTTGCAGCAGTGTCGTGAAAATTGCATTAACTTACCCATCTGATGCAGCCGTCACAGAATTTGCTGCAGTTGTCTTTGCAGCATCAGCAACTGCAGCACTAGGTGTTGGATCTGTAGGTGCAATGGATGATGATGATGCTGCTGCAGACAACTGACGGGTTTGTTGAATTTCCCGCGGTGTAACAGGCGTAGCCGCAGTTTGTGTATCCAAAACCACAACTCCCGTTTCTATATTAGGCGATATCGTATCGGATCCAGGAACGGTGGATGATGTTGGCTTATTTGGACGACATTCGGGAACTGCTGTAAGTGTTACATCTGTTGGTCCTGCCCCTGAGCGACCTGAAATTAAACTGTAAAGTTTATTTTAATTATGAGAGGAAAACAGGAAAGCGGACAAGAATCAGGAACCAAAAAAATCTCATAGCTACTACGAAATTAATTCAGCCACCAGAAGTAAGTGTTGTTTGTGCAGATCCTCGAGTCTTAACGATTGCTTGCTGTGATCGTTGATCTGAACATGGTGGACACGATATCGCTGCTGCTGCCACAGATACTGATGTTTCCACATCTCTGGCAGATGAAATTTCTGCAATCCAGATAATCCTGAGTTTGACTTTCATTTATAAAAACGTATGTGGACAAAGCAATCTTAATGGAAAACTACGTAAAAATGATTAAGAAAAAACTGAACCTGGATGATGACTTGGGGCTATCTGCGTCGATGAAGATGGAGCTCGCATGCCAGGAGGAGGTCCCTTATTCCAAGCATTATTAATAGGCCTTGGTGCTACTGTAGATGTCACTGTTCCTTGCACAGTGTTTGCACGCTAAAAATGACACAAAATCACACACACAGCATGCTACTTCTGTTCATTGTCCATACATCCCCACAACCTCTTTGAACATTTACTATCCACTAGTAATACTGTGTCTTGCTGAACATGCATCCAGTGTCATGACAAAATCATTTAGTTAATCCATTACTATGCTGGGAAGGTTTATTTCCGCTCGGTGAATTATGATAACAGACCTGAACATCTGTACTGTTATGCACAGAATGAGATGGCTGGAAAGTACTGTTGAAATTCTGATGAAATTCTTTTAAATTTCTGACCCGTTCTGTTTGCTTTGATGCTTGCTGTCGCGAAGCGTTACCCATACCATTTGATGTACTCGAACAATTCAAGTTCTTACTTTCCTCTCCTATAAAAGTAGGACATCTACGAACTTCTTATAATAGCATATAAAGAAACCAGACTTTTTCTTGGCAGCGTTCCTTGAATCAAATTGTGTCAAAATACTGATAAATAAGTGAACAAAGGATGAATAAATAAATAGAGCACGTGGAGGCTGTCCTTCATGTTGACTGGTCACCAAACGATGATCATAAACTCTATTATTTCCAGTTTGTTCCGATCGTCGCCCACTTCTTATATTGTCTGTGGTTGAAGAGGAGCCTGAACTTTCACCACGTCGGACCCATTCTACAACGGAATGATAGGCCAGAATATGAGAATGGATAAACTCATCGATGATTTGCAGTAAAACATACAAAATTAGCGGTAATTTACTGTAATAGATGAATCAATTGTCAATAACAACTGAACAAAAAGATGAATATACGTATCACATCACTATTGAAAATTCACCAAAAATAAAAATAAATTTCTGAATTTCTTTCATAGTGGTTTTTGAAGTTTCGAAATTCAGAATTCTTATTTGGGAACAAATAATTCTTATTTGGGATTTATTTTGCATTTAAGCTAATATCTAAAACAAAACTGATAAATAAAAAGAAGCATACGGCCAAACTGCAGATGCAGTTCCTGCGCCGTCGGTCGCTCCAAGATTCCACTAGGTGCATAACGTGAAGTGGGTCCTGATCCAACTGAATTTTGAGGCCGTACTCCATGACCCATTGACGAATTTGTAAATAAACGTGATGAGCCGCCACCGGATCCATATGATCCACGCCCTGGAAGTTTTTCACACATTTTATAATGTTCTTTTGCTAATTTGGTTAGTCAATAAGCAAAAAATAGATTAAAAGAACAGGAACACTGAGATGTTAACTGGGACAACACATCAAATCACATAAATTCAGAAAGCACGAAGTTTCCTATTCTGAAACATTTTTCGTCAGTTGTTCCATAGGAATACATTCGTGACCTCACAAACAAAATTAAACTGAAATATTTATACGTATGAATGACTGCCGTACCTCTTCCTGTACCTAGGACACCTTCCGACCGTCTACCATTCGGTGGCCCTCTGTTTATGTTTATGCCACCTCTATCTCGAATATTCCCTGAATAGCTGCCACGTCTGAATGGATTATAGATATTAGATCCATTTTTTATCGAAGAGCTCTTAACAGGACACAATGCGGATAACCTAGAACTATTTTCTAATGAATAACTACAAAACCATACCAAGAAAAATTTTGTTGAGTGGTACTCACTGAGAAAAATTTTCCTGCTGGTATATTTCTATTTTACTATGAATAATAAATTTTCATCGGAAGTATTTTTACCCCGCGCTTGATGATTTCCGGCTACGAATTTGCAATTCTGATGTCTCCCTATCCAAATCACGCTCTTCATCATCATTTTCCAGCTGTGCGCGTGCTCTGCTTGCGCTGCTGCTATTGATTTCTTGTGCAATCCGTTCCGCCCGCTTAAGATCTTCTGCGTCACCCTGCACATCAGCCCTTAAATTTAAAGAGACCATTTAGACACATAAACAAAAAAATGTCATGCACTTTTATATGCAGTACCCAACCATCAATCTGATAATGATGTCTTGTATAGAGATGATCATCCCCAGAGACAAAGCGATTTTGCAATATATATTTACTATGTCCACAGAATAGTTAAATTTCCCAAAAAATAAATTATAAAAAATTACGTGGCATATTCGGGCATATTCTCATCAAATGTGCTTTTGACCCCCAGAACATCATTCGCCTGAAACATTTGTTCAACAGACCAACCATCTTCCTGATCATCGTTTAATAGAAGACCATTGTCAAAATCATCTTCGGATTCCCAAACCTGTAGCTCCATATTTGCCACAGAACCGCTCTGATCCGCATATTCACGATCCGTAGCAAATCCTAGGATTTGTTTCATCTTTTAAATGCATTTTTTTAATGTTACGACAAAACTGTATAACTCGTCAGTCAAACTGAAAGAAAACCTTCAATCCTTTTTTCGTCCCGATATTTTGCTCCCACACTATAAACACAATCTCTTTCAATCTGAAGTTTCTCGATGACTTGATCTTTATGAGGTAACAAGTTTTGACCATCTGTGAGCACTTCATGCGCATATCTCAAGCCAACATCGAACTATAAATTATCAAATACAGTTACCAAAATGGCTAACAATTAAACATCTTAATCGTTTTCTTTTTTCCATTTCTTTTATATATATCGTTTTAGCTCACCCAAACATCCCAAACACAATACAAAAAACATAGTGATAGCTGTAATATGAAGATAAATACTCACATTCGAAGAGCAACCTGCAAATATTCCTTCAAATGTCAATCCATCACGGGTTTCAAGCAGTACTTCCTTACCCTAAAATTTAACATACAATTATACTTTAGCCAGCTAACATAATTTTTGATCTCTCCACTTTTTTTACGAGATTTCGATGAATTTCGAACCGGGAGAAAAGGGCAATTAACAGTTAGTAGGAGCATAACATATTTCTCAAAACCTCGATTATCAAATTAGATATGACTTTTCAAATAACTTACAATCATCTTCGTTATCAATAACAGAAGTTCCTGATTCGCATAAACTCCCCGTACTTCATACATATTCTACAAAACAAAGCAACTTAATTTTGAACTTTTCCAGTTTTGCTTGTTACTACATTTTCATGTGCAGCTGTAATACTTTTCCAGAAATGTGGTGATGATTTAAAAAACTCCCAGCACTGTCCAAATTTGTAGGACATACTCATAACAAAAAAGTAAAACAACGTGAATAATTAGCTTACTACTAATCATTGGATAACGAATTTAGTACTATCGATAAATGAAATAAAAGTAAAATTTATCGTGAAAGACTGTAATCATAACGTCGTAAGAATAGCTTTGGCAAATGGTCATAGTAATAACAATTGATTCCAATAACAGTGAAAAATGCAAATCTGTGAATTTGTCAATACAAATTTTGATGGAGAAAACAATAAAGGAATACAAGTCTTACCTCGCTTTGAAGTTTGTGAGGCATGACGTATATCCTTATCGTTTAACGACTAAAATATATTTATGTCAATAGAGCAGCAATATATTCCTCCTTAGATAAAGCCACAATCAGCTAGCTAATCGTGATTTCAGTCTTGAATTACTCAACTCGTTACCGTTGTAACTATCTCACACACTCGTCGATCGTTGCTTCCAAATGAAATTGCGTTATCTAATCAATTAATCAGCCAATTGCGCAAGCTACAAATTGATCAAATCCAATGTTGTCGTTTATTTTACGCAACAACTTTCATTGAAGAGTTTCTATTAACATATAGGAAGTAATTCGAATGAAATGTTAGGTTAAAAGATTTCGTATTGGAACAAATCATTTATTGGAATAAATCATTCTGAATTTTATCAATTTGATCTTCCCGTATGGGAATCAAGGGATTCAACGGACTGAATTCATATCATTCTCTTCCTTACACCAATCTGTCTTCCACTTTGTCTCACCCGTCCACTTTCTTTCCCCAATGAAGTTCAATTCAAGTGGAAGATATCAAGAGAAAAACAAAGGTTTGAGAGAGAGAGGGAGAGAGAGAGGGAGAGGGAGTTGTAATATTTAAATAATTTGGTAAGAATCTAAAAATCTTACAAACCAATCAATACGTTTACGTGACACATACGTTGTTAACACCCAAGTTACACCAAAAGGAAATAATTTTAGATCAAAAAAGTTGTCGCATAGCGCATAAATACATTTGAATTAGCTTTCTTCTTCCGCAAAAAGTACCGCATGAACTAACATTGAGTTGCAAGTGGACATAACTGACCATTACGTTACTGCCCCATGCAATAACCCTTACTCCACCCACTGTCCAGTCCAATCCATTCAACTCCAATTTCCTCTAACAGAATCGCAAAAATTGATTACCTTTTACTCACTTGTCTGCCTCTCCAATATCCTTACACTCTTTCCTTTTTCCACCCCCCCCCCTATGCAACAACTCTTCCCATTAGCCGATGTTCTATTCATATACCAGCATTGCATCCGATGTTTGCCGCTTCCCGCACTCTGTTAGCGCGTTATAGCGGAACATTGCAATTCCATAAGTAACGCAAAAAACAAGCGACATCATAACGCTCGGAATTATACAGGAATATCTATAAGACATTTCGACATCAATGTTCCAGTAGCTGCATGAGAACTAACAAGTTTTCAAGAGACATTTTATATTTTTATGAATTACTCATAAGATGAGAAGGTCTATCTGTTTGTTGAGGTGTGACTTTTTAACAACAAAATTATTGCAATTTTGAATATTTAAATGCAAGTATTACAAATAATAAGGAAAATAAAAGGAAGAAATATTGGAGAAGGAACATTCCTCGACGATATGATGCAAAATATGACGATAACATTGTTATATATTATAATAACCATGAATAGAATATGTGTAAGCAATATACAAATCAACGATTAGTGCACAAACAGTGGTAAGATGCAAAATTCAAGCACATAAATTACTAATTGTACCATTGCCTTCTTCTGTACCAGTTATTATTTCCTATGTTATGCTGTATTCTTTCGTATCGTCTAATACGAATGAAAGAGAAGAACTCTTAGATCATATCCCCTTTAGAATGTGCAATATCATAAATAAAAGTGAATTGATTCATATTTAATGAATTGACTCATATATTCGGGAATTGATCACCTCTGACCAAACTACAAATGACATAATCCTCACGGCACTGAAATGACCTAATGGTGCTTACTCGTTAACCATAATCTCACCATACTATGTGGTGGAATAAATTTCACGAAAACCACCATAGTATCCCCTAGACCTAACTCAAGGCATATTAATAAGACGAGACGATCTGATGGGAACAATAATTAAGAAATAGCTAGAACTAGATTTCAATAAAATGGATAAATGGAATCCAACATTTAATAGAAGTGACAAGTGAAACTTGACACGTGAAACTTTCATCTTTTTAAGGAAACGCCTAAACTGGGAAGCATCCTGAAATAGACTGGAGTGGTGCAAAACATTTCTCGCACTATAGAAACATTCAATTACCACAAACATTACAACAATGTTGAGAACATTCTACTTCAAAACTGACATAAACTGTTCCATACAATTATAGACAGAAGTATCTGTAGCATCGGTGGTTCAGTGGTAGAATGCTCGCCTGCCACGCGGGCGGCCCGGGTTCGATTCCCGGCCGATGCAGTGCCTCTTTTTCTCCAGTTCCGCACTTCATAATTCCCACATCATTAGATAAAGGGTTATCATCTACACATATTTAATTCAGCCGCAGCTGTCGAGTTTTCAGAGTTCTGCAATGGATCTTTTCCAATTCAACATCATCCAAGTCAAGATCAATGACCTGAAACCCACTTTTGTTTAAGAAATTCGGAATCTCTGAAAAAAAAACTGATCAAAAGGAATGAATGAATTATGGAACATGTGGACTTCCTTCCTCTAAAACTACATAAAGACTGCTTGAACCAATGCTTTTCGAATACCTTTTGGATAAGAAAATCTTCAGTCATTATTGTTTTAGGAAGATTTTTCAGCCGTGTCACAATCGAATGAAAGTCGTTAAATTCTCTAAGCTGGTCATTCGTACGGAGACCGTAACGAAACAAAACCACTGCTATCTTGAACAATACCTTAACGCCTGAAATTTCACACAGTTCATTGCAAGTGGTCATCTTACTCACTATTGCGTATTGATATATAGTCTTATAAAGACCTTGGATGCTATCAAATTATTTTGTTCGATTGATTCACTAATACATATTCTTTTGACCATTATTCAGATGTATAATGGCCTTAAGCGAGTGAAGGATGAAAATAGTCAGAATAAATATATGCCTTTACTAATTGTTGACTGCAGGAGTAAGGAAAGGCAGTTTTTCATAAACAATAAATAAATTCGAAATTAAAAGTTGTGCTGAACATGCTTCTACAGTTTGCAAAATAAACCATAAACGACACAGCGTGCTGTTCATCAACAATGCAACAACTGCTAAAAATTAGTTATATTTTCATTTCAGCATACTTGCAACTCGAACTCTGCAGCCACAATAATGGGTTAAGTATTTGTTAGACGCATTAAAAAGGTACTGTGAATCATAAGACAGTACTGAAATAGCCCTATTTATGTGAATGTGAGTATTTCTCAATATCTAAACTTATCTTTGCTATTCTGAAATACTAATCAAGTGCTAAACATATACAGCAGTAACTTTCATTCACTTCTTGCACGCATTCCAATATTCGTTATACAAAAATAAAGTTAGTATTCATACGATAACCTTCACAAAAGAACATATCCCATACTCGAAGTACTGTCGGCCACGGAAGAGTTCGGCAAAAAATACACATAAACCATTCAACCATATAAAGTACTGGTTCAACGCGATGTTTTTTCTTCAAAAAAATTATTGTGAAAAATTTTTCTTTTTATATTTTCTTACAAAAATTCCGTGTAAAAATTTACTAATAATATGAGAAAAAATAAATGAACTAAATTTCCTCATAAAATTTTTTGCAAAAACTTACTAGTAATGAAAGAAAAAAATAAACGAACCAAATGCCTATAACTAAAGTGTGACTTGTCTTTCAACACTTGAAATAAAATGTCACCATCGATTTGTATAGCCTCCTATAAACGTCATTACAGAATAAGGAGAAAAAAATATGGAGCAATAGCAAAATTATAAGTTATTTCCAAATAGTTACCGAACATCCGTGGCCACACTGCTATTTTCAAATATCAAAATATCCGATATACAAACACCCGATTCATTGCTTCGAACTATCCCTTCATCACAGTAATTAGGGACGTAACTAATCCTCCTTCCCATTCCTCTTGGATGCCTTTCGACAGTAAGAGATTAAATTTCAAATAAGGTGTATATCAGAATACTATTTGACAATGATCAATCAAGCACAAAAAAAAAAAAAAAAAACGAA